AGAGAGTGTTGGCGCATGGGTGTGAGTGTGGGTGTGTGTGTGTGTTGGTGTGTGGGTGTTGGTGTGAGTGTATGTGTGGTTTGGGTGTGTGTGTTGGTGTGTGTGTTGGTGTGTGGGTGTGTATGGGTGTTGATGTGGGTATATGTGGGTGTGTGGGTTTGGGTGTTTGTGTGGGTATGGGTGCGTGTGTGTATGTGTATGGGTGTGTGCCTGTGTATGTGCGTGTGTAAGTGTCTGTGACTGTCTGTCTGTATGCGTGAGAGAGAAAGAGAGACTCTGGACAGCAAATCGCACAGTATGATTCATCAGTGGTTCTGTGAAATACTCACATGACTTCATATCTGACTTGTGCTCAGGAATATCATTTTCAATTATCAAATGCAGAGTCCCATACAGAAGCCACTGAGCTTAATGTCCTAAGTTAGTCAGTTATTTTCAGGTCCCTGGCAAGCATTTGATTAGATTTCTCCAGTTCAGATCATAGGGTGATAAATAAGAGCCTGGAGTTGATGGATTTATCACTGTGCTTTACAACCCCACCTCCCTCAGCTACTGAGACAGTCTGTGAATCTGAGTATCCCAATCGGACTTAATATCGAGCATGTCCCTGGCCTTTTATGGAAAGACAATTACAGTGGAAGGTAATTTACTGTCTGTTACAGCCAGTGGCTATTTTAATCTAGTAAGGTGATGCTGATACAGTTTATGAATCTCAAATGATGAAAGTTAACAATATAGCAAACAAACTTTATACTTGTATGTTACCCACAAGAAGCTCCTTACATTGAGAAGATGTAAAAGAGCTTGCCTGATACGTGTCACATGAATGATAATCGTCCAATAATCAATTGCCCATCAGCGATTGATTAACTCCATGGGTTATTTCATTTAAAACAGTAAAACACATTCTAAGTATGCGGCAAAGACTACAGAAAACCAACTGTACCATATGGATGTTGTAGCTAACAAACCCAGAGCAGACTGACAGCCAGGCAGAGTCAGAAAATTATATACACACAGCATTTGGCTTCCCTAAAGGTGAACTCTTTTAAAGGCATGATACACAAACAATAAACTCACTCCCACTGGGTAAGTCTCCTCTCTGCATTCATAAAATCACCCCTTAGATCACAACCCCTAAGATTTGCATGTAAACAAACACAGAAAGAGGGGGGGAGAGACTACAAAATACAGGAAGGGTTTCTCATCCTGCCATCAAAAGCAAGAAAGAATTGCATTTATCTGGCACCTTGTTGGCTTTCTTAATAATTAGATGTACAATTGATTATTTTCATGTGCTATGGCTAGTTATGTGCGAAGTAAGTATTTTGAAGGATTGTCGAGGTTGTAATGGAAACATGCCAGCCAATTTGCACACAGCAACAGCCCCACCAACCAGCATTGTGATAATGTCCAGATGATCTGTTTTAGTATTGCTCATTGGCTGATAATTATTGACTCCAGGAAACTGGGGAGAAACCTGTATTTCTATTTGAAGAATGCCACAAGATCTTTTGCATCCAACTGTGAGGACAAACAGTTTACTGCGTCATCTAAAAGAAAAATTCTTAAACTGTGCAACACTCAGCACTGCACTGAAGAGTCAGCCCGGATCTTGTGTTATCATTGTATAGGGTCTTGAAGCTTCAGACTTCAGAGGGGACAGAGTACCACCATTCCACAGCTGACCTGTAAACACCTTCAGATCTAGGTAGGAGGGATCTTTGTGCAGTAGTACTGTCCCTACCTTTGTGCAAGGAGGGCTGAATTTAAGTCCTACCTGCTGCAGAGGCATGACATAACATCTCAGATGAGGGTTACAGGGAGAAGGTAGGAGAACAGGGTTGAGAAATATATTAGCAATGATTGAATGGTGGAGCAGATGCGATGGGCTGAATGGCCTAATTCTGTGCTTTACCTTATGGTCTTCTGGCCTTATGGACAAAAACGGAGCAATTTTGACTAGCATTAAGTTGAATATGGGCTCTTTTTGTAACTCCATAATAGATAAGGGGCTACTAACCAGGTTCTCTCTCACACACACATGTAAATACACACACACCACAGACACACACACACACACACACACTACAATGATTATAAGAAGCAATCTAGTGGCAGGTATCCTAGAAACGGAGCTTACACTTCTAACACAAATATATTTAAATATTCATTCAATTGACAAGTTGTTTTGAATTTGAGAGCATGACCCAAATTCAGTTTGATCTGGTCAT